TTACCCTTTTACTATATAGAATAGAGGCCTGGTGCATGGGTGGGGCTGGCTGGTTTGCCCTGAAGGGTGTCCTGGATCAGGGTGGGGGTCCCCACTGGGGTGCCTGGCCAGTCTGGGTGAGGGGCTGATGGCTGTTTTCAGGCCGACTGAAGCTCCCAACTGCTCCTTTTTTTCTTTTCTTTTTTATTCTGGGCCAGCTTTAGCTCTGGCTCCAGCTCTGAGGCTTCTGCTGCTGAAAGAATGTATCTGGTTTGTTTGTGTTCTATAATCAAAACTCTATATCAACTCCAGCTCTGAGATCCCGGCTCGCTGAAAGCAGGTTTCTGGGGTTTTGTTTAGCTTCTATATTTGTAACTATGTTTCAAACTGCAAGTTCAGAGGCCCGCAAGGCAGGCGGGGAACGTTGGAGTCCTCCATCACTGAAGCAACCAAGCCTCATGTTCAGTTTAAGCTGCCTGGCTTCTGGCCGCCATCTTGGCTGGCAGTTAATTTGCATATCGCCCTGATCAGCCAATGGAAGGGTAGCGGTCGTACGCCAATTACCATGTTTCTCTTTTATTAGATAGGATGTTTACTTTGAATTTATATTAGTTCACACAAACACTCCATCCATGCTTTTGTTCTGGCCCTCCGGTCCAGTTTAAGAACCCATTGTGGCCCTCGAGTCAAAAAGTTTGCCCACCCCTGCTCTATCCCCTCTCCCTTCCTGTCTGAAATCAATAAAAATATTATTTTTTAGAAAAAGAAGTAGATGAAACTTTTTGTGTAGTATTAGAGAATCACAATATGATGTCATATCCATAAATGCTCTCATAAATAATCTGCTCTTGTAAATAATATTTATAACCCTTAGACTCAGAAATAGAGCTTTTAAATAAGTATTTTTAAGCCTCAAATTAAATATCTTTAGTTAGTTAACATGTTTTTTTCTTTCCTTCAAAGCAAAAGATTTATTAAAATTCCAGCTGCATCTTTTACAGACATTGATAAACTAATACAAAAATTTATATGGAAATGCAAAGGACCTAGAATAGTAAGAAATACTTCCTTTTTTTTCTTATTAACTTTATTAGGGTGACACTGGTTAGCAAAATTATACAGGTTTCAGGTGCACAATTCCACAACACATCATCTGTACACTCTATTGTATGTTCATTACCCCAAGTCAAGTCTCCTATCACCATTTATCCCCCCTATAACCTCCTCCTACCTCCATTCCCTCAAATTACTTCTTCTTATAAAAGAACAAAGTTGGAGCTCTAATACTATCCACTTTTAAAACTATAGCCATTGCTGCATTAATCAGGACAGTGTAGTATTGGTATAAAGATATACATATAGATCAGTGTCCAGAAATAAACCCTTACATTATGGCCAATTTATTTTTTTCAACAACAATGCAAAGGCAGTTCAGTAAGGGAAAGAACAATGTTTTCAACAAATAGTACTGGAACAATTACATATGTATGCAAAAAAAACCCTTGAATACAGAAATTAACTCTAACTGGATCATAAATTAGAAAATATAGGAGAAAATCTTTGCTGGTAGGAATGTAAAATCTTTCAGACACTTTGAAAAAACAGTTTGATAGTGTCTTAAAAGATTAAACACAGACTTACCATTCAACCCAGGAATTTTACTCTAGGTTTTTATTGATGAGAAATGAAAATGTATGTTCACCCAAAGATTTATACATGAGTGTTTGTAGCAGGATTATTCATAATAGCCCCAAACTGAAGCACTCCAGATCTCCATCAACTGGTGAATGGATAAACA